TTTTTTTTTTTTTTTTTGGCAGGAAAATTGCCATAAGAATATACCAGAAATTCTTCAGAATAAAAAAAAAACCAAAACACAACAACAAACAACCACAAAACTAAAAACCAGATTTGTCAAATTAAACTTTTATAAAGCACTTAATATTCATTCAGTATAACTTTAGGATACAGCAGACATTAGGAATGAATATGCTGAAGGACGAACTGTACTGAATGTTCCAGGGACCAGCATGCCTATCCGTGATTACACTGAAATTTTGAATCTCTCAGAAAGGTGAGTTTAATTCAAGAGCAAGTGATTTCTCAAATACAAATCTGTAGAGAAAACAACATTGTTGTTAGTTTATGTTTAAAGCTGGTGGATTCTGATAAAACGTTTCCTGACAGATTGCAGGCCGAAGCCACAGCTGTGTCTGGGCGTGAAGTCCTCTGAGTCCTTTAGCACTGGCCCTTCTTGGATGAGCAATACAGAAAACTGAATTCAAAACCCACGAGTACCTATAGGAAGTATTGGGTATGAGGCTTAATGTGAATGCAACTAATAGAGTCTTCAGGCTGGTTATCTCGGAGGAATATGCAATTAGCATTGAATCTACTCCAGCTTTTAGCCAACACCAGAATGAGCTCAACCTTGGCAGAAAAATACAGAAAAAGATTTTACCACAGCCCCTCTCTGTTGTGGGTGCTGGTTTACTTTGTGTAAATATACTCTGCTTAAAGCAGAAAATTGAGGATGTGCTCAGGTTATTTTTGAAAAGAGAAGCGATGCATCTCAATGCTTCCTAAGACGGAAAGAACTTTAAAAAAGAGATGAAGAGGGATGAATATTTACTAGCATCATACCAACGCAGTTTCTGTCTGTCGATGAAAAACCTCGGACCCCCAAAGGGATATCACTAGTATGCCTTCAGCAAGGTTCCTGAAGTGGAAATAATAACGCTTCCTTGGTGGAAATGAAAACACTTTAAAGAGTGTCACCATTGGCCAGCACATGGAGAAGTTTTCCCGTTACTGTAAATGTGGTTTGTTACAGAGATAGCATATCGTGCTGTTAAAATGTTGGTTTGATTTTCAGTCTTTTCTGTGTTGTAAGGCTGTATGTGAAAACATATACTTTGCAGATGTTACGGAAACATAGTTCACTAATTATTCATGATAACACATTCTCCTTGCCTCTAACCCGTAAGGAGTAAAAATAAGATTTATTTTAGGATTTTGAAAAAATCCACAACTTCTCTTTCCTTCTCTACCTCTCTTACAAAACAGAAAAAGCTTAAAGCCTGACACGTTCTGCTCAGGCAGGGTTGGAAAAGAATTTGAATAAAGAAATCTGGTGGGGGAAATGCTGATGTCATTTCCGATGGGATTAATCCATTCATACAGTTGCTCAGGATTTGCAGTCCTGTGATCTAATATATTCATTTAAGGCAGGGTCTTGAAAACATCTACATTTTCTGAAAGGTGGATTTCACCAGGCCTATTCTCTAGGCTGGTTCCCCAACAATTTAAGCAGATTTTACACTGTAAAATTTCCACTTTTGTCACCTTTGTAAGGATGGCATTTTCTGATTTACACACATAATCTAATGTATTAAAATCAGGGGTGAGTTCCTGAGTAAAAGCTAGATCTTGACACATTTTATATGGATTAGTCATCAAATTTTCTCTTCTCACAAGTCCTTTAAAGTCACTGCTCGTGAATTTAGAGTGGGAGCCTACATGTTCAGGCTAACCATCTGCACGCAGTTTTATTAAACGTGTCTCCTCAGCGGTTTAGCCTTTCTATTCTCTGCCTCAGATAAAACTGAAATACTTATAATACTATCCTTTGTGCAGATAAAAGTGAGAGAAGATGGAAAATGACACAAAAAAAATTCCTAGGATTTGACTGGTTTAATCTCCTCACACCCATACCCTTTCCAGCGTAGCAAATAAGGAATAAAACAAAACATGCTTCTATAATAAAATTCACTTGTATTCCCAGATCAGTTTTTTTTTAGGAGTTGGAAAACATCCTTTTTATATCCTAACGCATTCACTTGGATTTTTATTTAGGTGGTTTTAACAGTGTCTTAAAATTAAAACTAGACTGACTTTGTATTTGAGCCATGTAGGACTAAGCATATGGTTTCAATTGAAATATACCAAAATCTCCATGTCAAAAAAAAAAAAAAAAATCATTCCCCTTAACAAACATTCTTATAAAATTCTACTTGAAGAAGCAGGTGAAGGGGTACTATTTACAGTCAGCTCTGTATTTATTTTTGTGCAGTCATGGTTGACTGTTCCCCGGGTTTTTAATGACTCGGTGCACACAGAGCACTCATTCAGCAGCACTAACACTGCGTTATTCTCCCAGGTCTGAGGTTGGTGCAGAATATCGATAGGGGATTTATTCCTTCTGCTGTAATTTATGACTTTTACTCAGAATGGCATGGCTTAGGCACTGGCATTTGAGATGACTCGACTGGGGCTCTGCAGGCCCTTCTGCAGAGGATGGGCACTGGTAGAACTTGCCTACGCAGCTTGACCTGGAGCCCCGCCGCACTTGTTTGTCACAACTGACTTTGAACCAAAGCTCACGGGGTGCTCTGCAGAGCTGCAGGAACACTACCTGCCTGCTGCCACATTTACGGTCAAGAAGCAAAGACGTCTGATCAGCTCTAATGGAAAGAAGCTGGATTAAATAAAATTTGCGGGCTCATTTACACTTCGGAAATACTACAGCTCTTCCAGCTTGGTTGCCTTGGATGAGAAAGCCCCAGCCCAGCTGCTGACATTCAGGGCCTCTGAACACCACAAATAGGTCCATTCTGGTGCTTTAATCCCTCTGGGGTTTATGCTCCCAGAGCGCGTGCAAGCTGATCAACCTGCATTTCCCTAGGGAACGTCTTGCTGGGGTGCTGGAAAGCTGGAGACAGCAGCACAGTAGTGATGTGGCAGACAGGGTGGATTTCCTCCAGGGTTAGACAGGCGATGCCCAGGTGTAAATTTGCTGAAGGATCTCATCGTCCAACCCCACAGAAGCACAAATAAGAGCAGATTCCCTCCGGTAACAGAATAAATGCTTCCGTTTCACAGTAGGCAGCATTGGAGGCATTCAAAACACTTTGCTGTTCGGAGTCTGAAGAAGGTTCAACCAAACCAAATCAAAATGGGAATTAAGAGGGTCCATTCAAACCCGAGAAGTGTCTGGGAGGCAGGGCTGGACAACCCATCCATCCTGCAAGAGTAACCCACAGGCAGAACACCTCCGCGAGTTAAATGGCTGCAGCGTGCGGTTTTCTGCGATGCAGAGGGAGCGTGTCTACAGCTACGGGGTTGCTTCTCCTTCCCCTCCTGCTTTTCTCCCAAGTAAGAGCCTGCCTAATCAAGTTTCCAGTATTAAATCTGCGGGTGGCAGCACAGTGGCTGAACAGAAAGGAATAGCGGGACCGCGTGGCCTCTTTCACCCCATTTACCAAATAGTTTAGGGCAGACACCTTCAGAGGCATAAATATTGCTTTGAAAAAAAAAAAGGCAATGAATATTCCCCTTTCTGTCTCCCCCATAGCACGGTGTGATATACTAGCAATAACCTCCGGGTAAGACCCGGCCCCTGGCACTGTGCCATGCCTTTGGCGGGAGGTGGGATTTCACCCCTGATTTTCCAAACGTGCTAAATCACTGCTTTGTTGGCTTGTAATATATTTTGCAGGTTATGCTTCTGGAGTGGTATGGCATCGGACTTCAAAATCACTCTCTTTTTTGTAGAAATTCTGCACACAGAACGATGGCAAGGGGTGACATATCCTGTGTTTTCTTAACCTCTTGTTGCACTGGAGTCATTTGCATGTCAGTTTGATGAAGGGGTAGTTTGCCACAAATAAAAAAGCGGGGAATAGCAGCAAAGAGTTTGGGTAATGAAACCATAGAGGTTCTCCCTTACCTCCCAAAGCACCTTGTGCACAGTACAATTCTGAAATGTGCTTGACCTTCACTGCCCCAGGAAACAGTGCTGTCAGAGGGGCTGCTGGGTCAGGCTCTCCAGGCACGGTTCTGAGGATTTGCTGCTCATGCTGCAAGCAAGAGGCACGGCCATTAAACGTACTTATATGTTTTTATGTATTTATCTTTAAAGAACTACCTTTTGCTCATCTTCTCCTATTGCTGATTTTTAAAAATACATCAAGCATCTGAACTGATCCAACCCACAAAGTACCGGGCCAAGCTCTCTAACATTACTCTCTGAACAATCAAGGATGGTATAATAGTTTGTTAATCTTGTGATTACACGTATAACCAAATAGTTTGGACTAACAAGGAGTTGCTGAGATAGATGCACTAACCAAAACACACTCGGACATCGATTAAAACTAACTTACCTTTCTTTTGAAGTAGTCCAGCTGGGATCGTATATAACTATGGGCTGCAAACTCCAGCTTGTTTTGTGGTGGGTTCTTGCCTTCCTGAAAACGTACGCACAGGATTTTCAAAAGTGTTAAAGTGAGCAGTGAGCATTATACTACAGCTTTTGGGAAGACTTGAAAGTTAAAAATCACAACTAGGACCACTAATTCTGTGGCAATAATTTGAGTATTATTATTTTCACATTATAAAAATCTTTTGTTTGTCTTATTCCATTTATCAATATTATTTTCACCCATTTTCTTCTAAAAGGGATTGGTTTGCTCTTAATTCGCTGTCAAAAGTGTGAGCACACCACTGAGAAGGGTTTCTGGCCACTTCCTGGTGTTTCTTCTGCTGCAGTGACAAAAAGGGAGTCCAGAGCTGCGTCAGCAAAACCAGAGAAAATAATCACCTTAGTAACCAAGATACTCAAAGAGACATCAAGGAATGCATTTTCTAAACAAGTTTTCTCTAACTCTTGCTGAAAGTGATGGGGACACTACCCGTGCCTTTGGCAGGGAAGAGTCAAAGATGAATCTTGGAAATATTTTGCTCTATACTGTAACTGGCTTGCTTGCACTTGGCTTGCTTGCAAATTACTTGCAGACAGTAGCCTTTTCTCTTTTTTTTTGAGCTGCGAGTCATTTGGGAATCAGTACAATGAATAACACAGGAACCATTAGTTGTTTCTGGAAACTTATGTTTTCAGAAATGTTAGGCATTTCCAGATATGAGTAGTAATTCCTAGATTGTTCATTGTAAATCATCTGGAGTTAACACAAAAAAGAATTTACTATTGTTAATCAAATTATGGTCAACATAATGCTTTCTAACAGTGCTCCTTGACCACCAACTGTTTGGTACTAGTTATTGATACATGATGACTAGCCTTGGGACAAAGTTGTTGCATGAGAAAAATCGTCACGGGAAAGAATCCTTCTGGTCCAAATTTTCAGCAGAGGTTCATTTCTGCTGAGGTGTGCAAAAGAGTTGGCATTTACATATGGTTTTGGTTATCAAACATTTTCAAACAATTAGCTGTATGATTTGATTAGGAACAGCTGAGTAATTGAAAAATTTTCTTAACTAATGCAAATAAAAAACTTAATTGACTCACATGTACAACCATAATGATAAAAAAAAAAAAAAAAGTAAATTTAATTTGGAGACTAAACTATGTGCACTGAGGTTCCTGTATTCTGTTGCTTTCCCATTAAAAATTCCATTTTCATCTCTTCATCACAGATATAAACCTGGGACTCTTAACTGGATCACACATAGTAATACATGAGCAATCCCCTCCAGACATCGTGACTTTACCAAGTTACTTCACTGGTTACCAAAAATCTTTTTTGTCCAGATGTTACAGCAGTAAATATGTTGGAAGTGGAATGCATTAGCAAATAAAAACGTGTCTAATCTCTGGAATGGCACAGAATATTCTCTTTCATCATATTCCCCATGTCTATTAGAAGCAGAAGGGTTTGTAGGTGAAGTAAGACCGTATGAAGAAAACCATATCCCACTTGTTGAAGCTAATACATAACAATTACTAAACAGGATCTACTAATGTGTGGAATGTGAATACATTTACATCAGTGCTGGTGTAAGCAGACAGGACTCTTAGACCTTGAAATAAGGCCCCTAGAAACATCAAAATTTTAGCAGTTCTCGGTGTTTTCCCCAAATTCACACTTCTGGACACTACTATCAGCTGTGGGATCTGTGAGAGACAGCACAGGCATACCTTCCCAGTCCTTCCTCCCCTCCTCTCTTGGACCAGCTCTTGACAGGAAGCTCCACTGCCAAGTCCAAGACTCTGGGTGTTGGAGGTGACTCTTTGGAGAGAGCTGGTCCATGCCAGGGCTTGGGGGGGATTTGAAAGCAGGCAGCCTTAGCCAACAGATCTTCTGAGAGCCGCCAGTACAGGTTTCTGTGATGCTGTAGCAAATCCAAAGCAAGAGTTTCTCAGTACTCAGTACCCGTAAATCGGCCATGGCAGTGAAAACCAGCAGAAGACAGCTGGATCTCCGAAAAAAGAGAACAGCAGAGAAAAGCTGGACAGACAATGTGAGGGTGGAGGTGTGCCTTGCCCAGATGTGTCTCTCTGCTTAGGAAGCAACGTTCTGGGCAACATGCTATTTTGAGAGGAACATGTAGGGCATGGTGAGAACCATGGTAATAGTCTGTTTGAAAGACTCTATGGGAATTCTGATTTTTTTTTTTTCCCAAAAGAATGAGCAGTGTCTATCTAGTGACAATACTAGAAATATTTAAGGTTAAATCTCGGTCACATTGACACTATAGAGAAAGCTTGAACTGACTTTGGAAAGGCCAGTATTGCACCTGTGCAGATTGCCATGTGAGAAAAACCTTTCAACAGCTCCCAAACTCACACGGTCAGGACTCAGGACACATTCCCAGTCCTCAGGGGCTCTTCTAAAGCTGTGCTCACTACCTTCCATTTGTTGCTTATGTATTTTATGTGCCTGCTTAAAACCACATTGATCCCCACGTACTGTGAGGTGATGGAGCACACAATGATGTGATAATTCCTATGGATTCATAAGGAGAAAAGAATGGACCTGCTTTTCCATCTGTACTTTGGGACAAATTAAGGCTGAAGGGCACATTCCTGTCTATACCTACCTGTGTTCACATTCACAGTCCTACCAAACTCGGCAGGGCTAATTATATTCAGAAAGCGAAGGATATGCCGAGTGCTCACAAGAGGAGGGTCTGAGAAAGAAGATGATTTCTGTACAGCCATCTGCACCACCGGGTCACCCAGGTGCGCCAGCAAGTTTCAACCAACATGGGTGATCTCCTGAGAGGAAGCCTGGAAAATGGGTTGACCATATGTCCCTTCCAGACTTTTCAGCCCTTTCTCCCTTTCCCACTAATCGCTTTATATTTCTGAAGCTGTACTGGTCAATTTAAGGGTAACCGACAGTATAATCATAGAAATTTTGCTTTACCACCATGTCTTTTCTGTTTAAACCACAAATAATACTAGAAGCTTACCATATCAGAACAAAACATAAACAAGTATAAGCCAGAAAACAGTGAAAACAGCGTTTTCTCACAATGACTATGAAGATGATAAAGACAGGTATGGACAGAGATGCTTGCAAATTAGCAAAGATCAAAAAGAACGAAAGCATGTCAGGAAAGTGTATTTTTGTCATTGATTTAATGGCAATATTTTCTTTCAGGAAAAAAAAAATCCATGTAAAAGATTAGCAGTTCAAATTGTTTAACAACTTCTGAGGCTGACAGCTGTTTAATATAATCAAAACATTGCCTTTCAGTAATGTAATCTACTAACAAACCACTCTCCAGGGTTGCTGCTACTTGCACCACTCAGACATGAAAAAGAAAGTGTCAGATCTTTCCTGAAAGCTTTGCTGGATCCCAAGGCCCACTTGGATGCAAGCTTGGATGCTCCTATGCTGGTGTAGCTTGGAAATGGAGCTTTGTCCAGCCGCTTGCTAGATGTGTTCTCGCTGTTCTTGGGACAACTATAAAAAGCTTAAAGGCCTGTACAAACACGCAGAGTCAAAAGTAGGTGTAAGTAGGAGTAGTAACACCTCTTTTCTCTTCTTCCACACTTCTCATCGTTGCCACTGTGTTGGATCCCAGGCAGTGCTTGCCCTCAGCGAAGCAGTACCCACAGCCTCTGTTTGGCACCCGGGGAGGTGAGGGGCAGCCCTGGCAGCCTGTCTCACTGCAGGGCATTCCAGCACTTGCTCTGGGTTTAAATCTAGTTTTAAAACAGTTTCTATGATCAGACCGAGTGTGATTCTTGCAATAGATTATACTCTGGAATTATCTTTTGTTATGCCATTAATAACCTGACCCGATCCGGTATGCAGTTCGGGAGATTTACCACAGAATTTTGGTTTGCCCTTAGTGAGTATGAGGCGGTTACCTCCTTGAGAAAATATGATGTCATCCAGGGAAGCACTGGAAGTAGCAATTCATACATTTGAGGGCTTTAAGGCTATCTTACAGTCACTGACACATTCTCCCTTTTTTGGCTCATTCCCTTGTAGAACACAGATAACAGTATATAGGTTTTACCCCACTGGATTTTGCAAGGATTAGTTAGTGAGGGTTTTTTTTAAGAGAACACTCTGACTTTTGTGGACCGTATTTGGCAGTGGTACCATGGCAGCGTAATTCCTTGTAACCACAGGGGAACTGTGACTTCTGCACCAAAGTTGCGTGGAGATGTATGCTGTGTGTTACAGCGCATGCAGAGACCCAGCTGCTCCGTGCAGCACACCACTTAGAGGCATAGCAGTAGCTGTACAGCTGAAATATTTTCTTACCCTTTTCATAAAGTTTAAACCAGGAAAAAAAAAAAAAAAAAGGACTTCCTGCCATGACATCACTATGGAATATTTAAACCATACACATCTCCTCATTTTCAAGCCAACTTTCTCCTGCAGTTTGAATGCAATCCCTTTTATTTTGCTATATCTGAGGACAAGCAAATGTTCAGAGAGCACTTGCTACTAATCCAATCCTTGTACTAATTCTTAGCCAAGCACACAGCTAGAAACACTCTACAGCAGAATCTCTCTCTGTGTATACATATATATATTTCCAGGCTGATAGTGCCAGTTCAGAGGCTGTCAGCCTGAGTGCCCTACAGCTCAGCAGGGAGCTGCCCCAGGCCTCCATCTGACCAAAGTTTCATATTTTAACTGCAGCCTTTTTTCCCCACCAGCAGCCTCTGGTGCCTCTGTGCCAGCCTGGCAGCTGGCACCCGTGTGCCACGGGGCTAGCAGTGCTGCCCGGGTGCTCCCTCTCCGGTCCAAAACCATCACCCCAGCTGTGCAACGGCCAGGCACCGGTGCAGGAGGAAGCCTTCAGCAGCCCCGTTTGCATTTGCGGCTCCAGCAGCTGTTCCTTGTCTCCTCCAGCAAGGCAGCGGGCCAGATCTGCCTGTGGTCAAGGCAGCTGGTTGGACCATGCTGACCTAAACCTCAGATGCCTTCGCAGACCAGCCAAATCCTTAGCAGCCACATCCTGCTCTTAAACAAGACAAAGAGCATGGAGAATGGTTGCGAACCATTCGGAGTTACTCTGCAGGAGAGGTGTTTCCGCAGGGTGGGAGTTCAGGGGGCCTTTAAAGATACACAGCACAGAGAGGAGCAGTTTTGTTCCTATTAATGGAAATTATAAGGCTTAGTTCACTGCTTTACTGAAGAAATTGAGGCCTGTATGAATTATCTTAGCCAGTCAGTTCCAGAGCTACTCAGAGAAGAGTCCATTTCAGAAAAACCCACAAAGTTTAGCAGTAGTATCAGTACTGTCACGGCAGCTCTCTATGACAGGCTTGTGGCAAGGTCTGCGGAATTTAAATCGTAATTATAATATTCACCCTTATACTACAAGGATGAAATTCAGGTTTGTCCCATAGCTACCACTGAGGTGTAGGTGGGTGTCAGGGCAGTGCGTGTGCGTATGCCCAGGCACTTCAGGCGTCAGCTCCTGGGGTGCTCCGGGATCTCCCCAGATCTTCACCTGTCTGCACAGAGGAGCCATTGGGCTGAGCTGGGGCAGGGAGTCACCCCCCGGCACAGCACTGCACACACTGCTGTGGCAAGTCTAGGAAGGCCCAGAAATCCCCCCGAGCAGCTCCTGCTGTGCAGAGCCCAGCTGACAGGCTCCACCGTGCAGAGCAACAGCCCAGGCGGAGATCCCGTCAGTCCCAGCAGCTGCCCAGAGCCCTTTTCTTCCTGCAGAACTGATCAAACCATGCACAGAGAATTACAAATACTCAGTAGAAGCTGCTCTGACAGATGCTCTCATAGGGCAGTCTTTTGTACATAGCTAATATAGTCAGGAGATGCTTAGTTTGTACTTTAAGATAATACATAGAAACAGCTCATGTGTTTGCCAGAGCGGTCCCATGGGACCACAGCCCAGCTGGATATAAATGTGCAGCAGAACAGCAGCCTGGGGAGTCTCAGCCGATCCAGCTGAAGATGCTGTTGCCAGGACCCTCGCAGTGGAGACTCCCACCACCATCCAGACGGTGACCAGCCATCCTCTTCGAGAGATCTGTTTCCCCATGCCAGTGTACCTGTGCAAGAGACCCTAACGAGTTCCTAACAAAAGCTCTTCCCACAAATGTCTGGGCAATGGGCAGAAAATAGAGGTGCTGAAAGTCTACAGTTTCAGAAATTAGTATTAGGCATCAAAATGCAGCCCAGAAAGCCCATTCCTTCATGCCTGTTCCACAGCAGATGGAGTTGACGGCTCCAATCCTTCTCAGCAGTGTGTCAACACTCACAAAGATAAGGTTTAGTGCTACAGGTCATGGAGAAATAAGCTGAACAGTTCTTCTTTGCCCTTTCCCCTTTGAATTTATCCAAGAAAAAAAACACAGCAGTCTCCAATCAAGAGTGGGATGAGATCCACTGGTTTTTACCATCTTATATTTCTGCTCTGGATTTCTAGGACCTTTTTTCCCTGCGCTACCTTTAGCACATGTGACACAGATGTTATCTCAGAGTAGAAATCCACTTGGTTATCTTCCTTAAATGATTATTTTGTGATTCTCCTTAATAAGTGTCTATTCCAGGAGAGTTAACATATGCCTCTAGAAGAAGAAAGGACCTCAGTTTGTTGACTCTCATCATTATTTAGGTGCAGCTGCATGCTGCACATCAACGATGTGATTCTTCTAAGATAGAAGCTAACAAAGATCAAGTTGTACTATTCTTGCTGTATTTTTCTTGGACACTTGCTCTTCCTAGATAGCAGTGGGAAGCTGTCTTGAAATTGCTTACATATTCTGCAAATATGGCAGATTTCTCTGTGATCCTGAGCCCTGCCTGAAATGAAACATATAATTGAATTTTGAAATGATGGACGTAGTGGCATGAATCCAGTGATTCATGAGGATTGGAAGGACATCAGG